TTTTTACACCTCTTGACCTTTGACCTTTGACCCCCAGCCTCGACATCCCAACGCGTTTTCGGATTACCCACCCACGTCCTGACTTTCGAATCCGTACGTCGAGCCGTTTAGATTTGTGCCCAACTGTTGACGGACGCACGGACGCACGCACGGACGGACGGACGGACGCACGGACGCACGCACGGACAATCATGCGATTCTACAAGCTGCATCTGACTATTCAGATTCTGACTATGTCAGATGAGCTAATAAATAATCGATTATAAAAAAAAAAGATTAAATTTTTTTAAATATTGAAAACAAAATGTGCAAACATTGATGAAATGACTCTTTTATGAATGACTATGAAATGACTATTTTATTGGTGTTTTTTTGGTTAGAGACAGTAAATCTAACCTATACCAAACATAATCAAGTATTAATACTGTTACATAGCTTTTAGAATATTGTATTATAAAAAATTCTGTATTATATGATATATGATAATATATTCCAATATCTGGTAGCGCGATCAATAACATTCAACCGCTTATCTTTGGGTGCAACAAATGATCGATGATGAAATTCCAACCGATTCCCATCACTAGTCATAATTAATGTGGCGGTGGCACCGATCACAGCCTATGCTCCCTCCCGGTGGTATAATTCACTGGTGAGTACAGCTAGTACATATATATTTTTATGAATGTTCTGTATTTCCGTGTGTAAATCACTATGTTGTTGATTGTGTAATCTCACATAATTGTCCTTCACTCAACCGTGAAATAGCTGTTTCTACATCTTCTGCGGTTTTACATCTTCTGTGGCAGGAAGCATGCATGGCAATGGATAGGTGGCAGGAACCTGCCAGGTTTCCCTGTGTGCATCATGGAAGCTGGCTACGTATCACTTTGCAGTTAGCAGTTGACTGAAAGGCATTGCAGTGAGAGCAGTACTGACAATTGCTGCCAGACAGTCATTGCCAATGCAGGGCGTCAAGTGACAAGTGACGCTCAAAAAATAGGGAAATAGGAATTTCAGATGTGAAAAAATAGGAGGAAAATAGGAATTTTGGTGAGAAAATATATGTTAAATAGGTATATTTTTTTGCGTTAGATGGCCTCCCAACACCCCTACAGCCATCCCGATCCACCACAAATGGTTTTATAAATATACATATTTCGAGTTACATCACATGTGAACAATATTTTGAGGTTTTAATGAAAAATGCATGTTAAAATTGATAAGCAGTTTATACATGCATAAGCACCCATACATGTAGACTACTCCAAAATAGTATGACGTACATGTATACATAGGCGGATCCGGCTTTTTGAAAAAGGGAGAATGAAATAAAGTAAGAAATAAAGGGCACTTTTATAAAAAGGTGCCGAAGGCAGCTTATGCGACGTGTCTAAGGCACGTTGCCACTTAGGGGGGGGGGGGGTTAGAATTAGAAAAATTAAAAAAATTGGTGCATTCTGAGAGCATCTGAGCAGTAATTTTGATGTCTAGAATGCAAGATGGAATTCCAAATTTTTAAGCAGAAAATTATCTTTTGTGTTTTCCCTTTTTTGGGATAAAAAAGGAAGGTCCGGACCCCTTGGACCCCCCCTCTGGATACACATACCACATCCAACTGAGAAACAACTTTACTGAAATTAAATCTGTGATAGGAAAGAGTATATTACGTTAATTTAAAGTAAGGGATGGGGGTCTCGGGGTCCTCCCCCAGGAAATTTGTGAAAATTGGGTCACCTGAAATGTAAATTCCTGCATTCTGAGAAGGATACCGTACATACAATTCTGGATTCAGAAAAATGAAAAGCCCTCAAAAATAGGAAAAAAATAGGAATTTGTCCAGAAAATAGGAGAAAATAGGAATTGCCCAGAAAATAGGAAAAAATAGGAATTTGTCCAGAAAATAGGAGAAAATAGGAATTGCCCAGAAAATAGGAAAAAATAGGAAAAAATAGGAACTTGACGCCCTGCCAATGTCATACATTGCATGTAAAAGCAATGCTGTCGGTTGTGTCATGGCTTGGGTTAGGGTGAGCGTTACAGCACCCCTAAGAGAAGGCTAGAGCTGCAGAGTTTCAGTGGCCTGGGTAACCAGCTCCCACTGAGAAATTTTTTTTATCTGCTGAGTGAGCTGTGTGTCTTGTTTGGTATTGATAAAATCTTGAGACCAGTCGCTATGTACTGAAACATTTAGCTCAGTGTGAACTGACCATGAAAGCAGGATTCCCGCTTTCTTCCATAGACCTGATACTAGCAGGGTGCGAAATTAATGCAAGTCCGGAGTCAAATACTCCCTGATTTAGTGTCGAACTCCCTGATTTGACATATGCAGGAGTCCTTGTGACTCCCTGAAAAGTCTGCTATACTAACTAGTTCGTTCCAGAGCACGGCCTCCTTATTATTCCCACGCAAAATTACCGTATTTTTTCAGCAATGTCCAAAGAAAATTTGGCAGACATGCAACCCCACGAATCTTCAAAATAAGCACATGCGTTATTGTTAATATATTTAGTTTTGAACTTCAGACTGCGGACTCCCTCATTTTGCTACGGACTCCCTCTTTTTGGGGGCAGGGAGTCCGTTAATTTGTTCAAAAGTTAATTTCTACCCATGTACTAGTGTTATCACAAGAGGACCGACCACGATGTAAAACCTCATTAGTAGTCATTATGTATACAGGTTATAACATATGTATCCTGAGACAACATAAATAACTTGTAATTGTCAACGTGTATCCTGTATTTCCTGGATTAAAAACTCACCACAATGGTCTTGGCTCGCTTATATGCACTGGCAATGTGTGTTGATTTGAACAGGACAAACGTCATTAGTCCTGTGTCGGGTGTAATGCTCATACTGTAGTGATACGAAAGACCATGACCTCTGATCTGTCTCCACATAGGCCCCTAAAACAAATATATTACCACCAAATTTCCAAATAAGCATACAAAAAGTAGCGAACAGGTAAATGTATATAATGCAGATGGATATTCAAGACATGGAAGAGAAACATTCTATCATAGAATTAAATTAGGGTAAACTCTGTCCTGCACTTCATTGGTTAGGCTTCAGTTATACTCTGTTATGGTGGAATGTAACAAAAATTGCATTATGTTATTTGACAACCGTATAAACTGCAGAGGATTATCAACAGAATCCCTGTTTATAGGAGCATGTGCGCGTGGGTGTGAATCAATGCAGGATTTCATAGCAAACAGATATGACTTGAGATGAATATTCATCAATTCCTCTACGAAATATGCCAACAAATGTTAATAATTTACTATATACTATACTATATACGGTATACTATACTATATGTTATTTGAGGGTAGGGATCACCAACAGCTGCCACCGTACCTCAAGCTGTGTGAGATACTGAATGAAGACCTCTATGGCTGGTAGGTCGGCATCTGTATAGGAGCACAGACAGGGGACAGTCTGCACGAGAAAGGCAGACTCTATGGCTCCCACTCCAATAATCACCCCTGCTGCTGGGCCACCAGAGTACGGGAGCAGATAAGACGAGCAAGGCTTCACCTCTGAGCAGAATGTCACGGGTTTACTGCAAGCACATTTAGAAAGCACAGTTGTTTTTATAAATTTATTCAAGACACAGCCTATGAAAGCATATACATTACAGACCTACACCCTAGTACATTACAACCAACCTATATTTAGGAAAAACTAAAATATCACGTGTGTTCTACATGCACATGGGGTAATAACGGCATATATAGTGACCCCCCCCCCGGGCGTTGCGCAATCATGCGTGTACGCAAGTCGCGCGATCACTGTGTGAGTGGATGTCCGGATACGTAGCCTGGAGGCTAGGCGACCGGTTCCGGACGAGTAGCCACTGCGAAAACAAAAATATCACGTGTTCCACATATTGTGCGTCCTTCCAATCTTTCATCATACATCCTGTAGATATCCTATATCCTGTTTCAATTAGATTAGGTGTATAAACTAGGATTTACCAGTCAGCCACCACCAGTCACCAGGATTTACATTTGTCGAATGGATGCGGATCTGCCAGAAAAGTTGTAGCTAAACTATTACAATCGAAACATGGCTCCATTAAACCCATCTTTACAAGCGGTATGTGCGCTCCTTCTATTAGGTGTATGTCTAGCAACACCAGATGTTCAGCCTACGGGAGTAAACTGTGCGGTAAGTGTGAACTCATGAATTAGCTGCTCATCACATAGTTTCAAACAATATTTTTACACAGTGGCTACGCGTCCGGTCATCCATTACAAAGCTCAGCACAGATTCCCAAATCCACGTCACGATTAGGCCACGACCCTTTTCAAATCGTTGATTTTACTGGATTTACTATTGCTTCAAAAGTTACAAAACATATTTTTTGGATAAAATACCTAAAGGTAAGTAATATTATGGTAAAAACGTATTGTTTTTTACTGAAAAAATATAGTTGGGTTCACACAAGAAATATATGATCGGACGGATAGCCTGGGAGCTGGCCGGGCGTCCAGTAACCGGACACGTAGCCACGGCCATATTTTTATCGGTACTGAATACCACTGCCACTGACGCTCATAGGGTCTATGTCCCCCAGGGTACTGCCGGAACGTACCCTGGTAACTATCTAGCTGATATGGTTAGGGTTAGGGTTAGGGTTAGGGGGGTAGGCGCAGGCGACTCCCTAGACTCGTTAGGCGAGTATGCGAGGTACGGTCCGGCATATTAGATAGTAGTATTTAGTACCAGGGTACGTTCCGGTATACCGGACCGTACCCAGGGTATGTTCCAGCAGTACCCTGGGGGACATAGACCCTATCAGCGCCACTGACCACTGCCACAAGATACATTAATAGATTTACACACTTGCTGTGTGAGAAGACATTCGTACTGCCCACGACAAACAATGACGAGTGACAATGTTGATGACAAACCACCCGACATTCTTCGCCCGGTATTACTGTATATGCCATATTTTTCGCGTACAGATATTTTTGCGAATTCAGACTTGATGGACAATTTCGCGAGTGGTTAATTTCGCAGTCGGTGAATTATGAATTATTCGGCATTATTCGGTATGAATTATTCGCGTGTTGTTATATTGTTACGGTCGGGGGCGCGTTCGCAAAATTTGCAAAAATGAATCCACCGCAAAATATACAGCGTATACACTAATTGTAGGTTTGGCCTCCTGCCGGCCGGGATGGTCGAGACGGACTGCCTGGGACTGCTGGTGTAAACGGAAGGGACAGCATGCCTGGTCGCGACGGCAGAGACGGGTTTCCCGGCGAGGCCGGGGCACCGGGAGTCGCCGGAGAGAAGGGAGAGAAGGGTAAACACCTGCCGTGACAGTGTAGCGATTTTAATAATTACCTGTAGCTGTGAACGTTTTCACATGAGCTGCATAATTTTCATAGATTGTTTGAAGCTTTTGCTGTAGATGTGAATAGCATAGTAATCTTCCTTAGTGTTACCCCGTAATCTGTACATATTTATAAAGGAATCACTTTGCTTTGTTTCTCAGGACTTCCAGGAATAATTGGAGTGTCTGGAGTATGTGAAGAATGTGAGAGAAGAAAGATTTACCAGTGTACATGGGATGCATCCAATGATGGAACAGACATAGGAGTTATACATGTATATCCTTATCACGTGCATGTTTTCTTATCGCTAGTCATAACAAATATCCAATCAAAACGAGTTCTAATGGGCCACATTACAAGAATCAGTACGCAAACATCCTACGAAAAACTTCTGATATCATTGATCCATATTTTTTCTAGCAATGTGCTGTGAAGAAGCGTACCAACACGACAGGGCTCCACGTAAGGTGGAGTGGTAATCTGCGCAACATCAAATCTGGTGGCAATGACTGCAGTCGCTGGTACATCACATTCAATGAGGCTGAGTGCAACAACCCTGCACGCATAGATGCCCAAATCTATGACAGTACGGATGGACACAACATGCACATACCTTCCTCTAGTAAGTCCAGTATAGCATTCATAGTAATTATTAACAGCGATGCTACACGCGACTGTAACTAATGCTTTTTTTAGCAAGACTTCTATTAATTGGGTAACGTTTGTTACACCTGACATGCTAAAATATTGACATTATGCCGCAGTTGAGGGGATTTGCTATATGCTGCCCGCTGGTCCAGTACTGGTACAGCTTCACACAGGCGACTGTAGACCTGGACATGGACATGGAGACACCTACACCGGCTGGGAAAGTGTCTCCCGCATGATCGTAGAGGAAATTGAGATGTAAACACAATAAGAGATGACGTTACGACCCAGGAAATTACCACTCATGAAAGAGGACGACACAAATAGCAAGAAGGCTCTTACAGCTTAGTATTTTTAACAGTAGGCCCAGTCCCACAAAAGAACCTACACAAAGAAAATAATCTCCCTACACAATGACTCGGCAGGCCCTTCATGGGTTCAACGGCGACCAGACGAAATTGGATAGCAATGGATTCACACGATCACGTGGCATCACAAAGGAGGAAAATACTACACACACAGAAATGGTGCCCCCTCAGCAAGCTCAAAATAATGCCGACAAATTCCAGAATTGCATCTCAGCCTAATCGATCGCACCTTTCGTGTACTGGTTCCTTCTGCCTGTCACCATCTGGTAAGAACTCGTCCTTCCATGGCTGTGCAGGAGGACCACATGCGGCTGCCAGCTGTGTGACATCTGCTACTACATGAACAGTGAGACTCTCTGGGGCAGTGATCAACTTCCTTAACTCCTCCAATCGTGCGATAACCTTCAAAAGACGTCAGCAACCATTGTACAGAGAGCTGCAGAGTTTTTCACTACCAGCACCATATACATATATCAACGTATTTCCCGTGTGCTAAAATATTAGATTTAGATGAAGGTAGTCACTTGTTTAGAGAATATACCAATTTGATACCGCATCATTTGTATTTGACTGCAGTATTGCTGTTCGTTTGTATTGTCTTATTGGATAAAAAACCAAGTAATATGAATGTCCAATGATTAAAATGGAAACTGATAAAATGCTGATCGACAAAGTAAAAATCAATGATTAAACCTACTACATTTTAATTATTTAATAGGTTCTAGACAGCATTTCATACCTCACTTGGATTTGTTTTCAGTTCCTCCAGCATAAGAGTAAGAAATCTCTGCTGCCTCATCATTCCAGAGATATAATGATTACTCTCTAAAATAAAAACAAAAAATCACAATTAATGAAATTATAATGTAAACAAATTTATTACCACTCTTACCAAAACAAATGTAATAAACCAATCGAGTAAACTGTCATGACATATTATATTATTTATATTTGCATAGTTGTGAATCCGAAATAACCATGCTCAATATAATGTATAGCCATCAGTGAAATATTGTACGCTAGAAAGAGAACATTACATGGTATACATATGTACCTTTACTGTAATTAACATCTTTGATGGCCGCCAGGACAACCCGCTGGCCATTGCGCTTGCAGCGTGACACGTCGCTCATCATCTTTGTTGCAATGATGCGCACACGTTCGGCTGTGAGGACCGTCCGAAAAAGCAGCTCTCCAGCCCACTGTATGCCCTTACGGTACTTGTCCACCTCCACCTTCAGCATTAGCACCGCCACCTGAGCAAACGGGCCGCAGTGGAATCGACTGCCGTCCACGCCGAGGGTGAGAACTGTCGTGAGTGTGTCAGATGCCAGCTCTGCTACCACGTCCTCGTACGGCACCAGACCTGCTACGCAAAGCAACAAGAGGTGTCTGTCCAGGAGGTCACCAATAGATTGCGATATGCTGTGATGCACCGCAGGAGAAGCCATCCTCACTTAGCATTTCTATCTCTCCCTTCCCCCTTTCCCTTCTTTCTCTTCATCTCTCTCTCTCTCTCCCTCTTTCCTTCTCTCCCTTTCTCCCTCTTCTTCATTCAGCTGTTAATCTACACCACATCTTACTTAAAAATTTCCCTATCTGAAGGAGGTCATTGGCATGCACCTATCAGGTATAAACATGAAAGAACTTGTGAAATACAGGCGCATACCTGCATTCCTCTGAATGGGAGATTCAAGTAGTAGCTCCATAAGAATGCACAGGTATGGCTTCAGCGATTGTGGCACGCAACTCGTGTTCATCAACATGCTGAGCTAATCAGAAGACAAGAAATGGCTCCCTTGTGTCAATAGTTACACAAACATATGCATGTGCGCCTATGTATTAAAACACTGAGAAATCCATTTAAATCAGGAGTGTATCAATATTGATAGACTCCTGTTTAAATCACATGCAGTGATGATGACTGCTTGAAGTAGTAATGGAACTTTCCACCGAGTCTCATTGCACTTTTAACAAAATATTCAAGGCCATTACATGAGTCACCGGAGCAATAATCGGACCAAGTACCTAATTTTAAAAACCCAATGAGGTTCTGACATACTTTCTGTCATTCTAACATTATACTGTATACGCCATATTTTTTGCGTACAGATATTTTCGCAAATTCAAACTTCACGGACAATTTCAAGAGCGGTTAATTTCGCGGTCGGTGAATTATGAATTATTCGGTATAATTCGGTATGAATTATTCGTGTGTTGTTATTTTCGTGAGTCGGGAACGAGTTCGCGAAAATTAAACCACCGCGAAATATAGAGCGTATACAGTAACTTAACAAACAAGTCACAATTTCTTAGCATACATTACGGCAGAGTATTTGAGAAGTTATACGTTAATTTTGCAAACGTAGTAATTTCAGGTTTACTTAAACCTTACTTCCACTTTATGGTCAGTGCTAGTGTTTTATAGTTTCCATATTATTATATTATTTTATCTAAAAACAATATGTAAAATATATAAAATGCAAAATAGCAAATGAAAAATTCAGGAAGATACCACAAATTTACAGGTATGTAACATAGACCTCAAGGGATTTATTATACATTCATGTTCATTTTCATTAATGTCAAACATCTCAGAACCTACCTTGACGAAGTGTGTGTGCATATCATCGACGAGGAATTTAAATGGCATATCAGTCAATGGAAAACTAGGAATTTTGCTGGTAAGTTCTGGTGTACAGTTGCTACTAGCAACAAGTGGATGAAACTTAATGCTGGAAGTACTGGGTATAGGTACACTGCTGATTGTTTCTTCTGGTGGTGCCACCTGTCAAATATTTCAACAGAAATTTGCTAATTAGTAAGTAGGAAATTTGCAATAACTGAGAAAATTTCGTTAGAATGAAGACCCCACCAAAAACCTAAGGCAGCCACTTGTATTTTTAGTAAAAATTGCCGAGGTGCATATAACTCTGATGAAGCCTTCTGCATAGAGTTTAACAACAAAATCAGCTTCACCTCATTTTCAGTAGTAGCCTCCATCAGGTTTGTGTGCAACTTTTTCAGACCAGCTTTGCCCAGTCTTCTCCGTTGCTCTGCAACACGCTCCTTCTCCTCATCGGCCATCGTCTCCATTAGCTCTGTAGATGGCTCACCTATAATCTGATAGTACAACAGCAGAGTCAAACGTAAATAGGATTACAGTGCACCAAATGTCAGCAAAGAAGCAACTAATACGAAATAATCTCTCACATTTAAAGACTTACAATGCAAGTTAGCAATGTCATACAAGGAACTGACAAACAAGTATTAGATGACAAATATGGAATTTGGTATACAGTCAAGCTACTTACTGCCACATGGTTGGCTTCAACTAAATATTTACTGATGAGCTTCAACCAGAACTCCTCAGTTTCTAACTTCATTTTCTTGAAATTTTCTGTCTGGTTCAGTCTGTGATTGAGCTGTATAAAATTACCAAATAGAAAATCTTACTGACCATATCTCATTACAATAAAACAGTTTACAATTTTTTTTCAACATTGAAAATAAAATGTAATTAGACAAATCCAACTTCAACTCATACATTGCAACTGTATAAATTTAGTACGCTATCACTACCACTCTCATTTACAATCCTAATCCTAATTACAACAATATTTCTTGCATTGAAGTAACACTGCAACAAAGTTAAGAATCCTGCACATTGTCTGTTGTCTGTTGCAGGCTAAATAATAATTAAAGCTGCAAAATTTTCCTTCATATACTCACATCTTCTGCATCATTCCCATAAAGAAAATCTCCTATACAGATGAAAGCCATGGTATCATGAGGATTCTCCTCTAAATGGTTAAGTGAATCCAGAAGTCGCCGATGAATGACGCTATTCATGCGATCCATATTGAGAGGGCAAGATTTGTCGACAATTTTTTTCAGATACCGAGTCAACCTAACAATGACAAAATCATGTATGACATGTGTGTTGTGTCATGCAACAACCACATTCTTTGCAGAGAATATTGAAATCATCAGCACAAAGACAGCAGTCCAGTTATTTTTTGGCACCAATTTGTATTGATTAACCCCTGAAGACAATTAATGAGTGAAATTTTCTGTGAATTCGTAAATGCATGGGATTTAAATAATTCATAATAAATGTTGCTCCACACAGAAGCAGGTACAAGATTATAGTGAATATCAAATATGGAAATACCCATCACTCCTCATTGTAACTCTATGTTAAGTTTAGGTCTTACGATTTTGTGACGTTTGAATGGTTGCAAACACTAACCAATTGTGTCAAATGACTATCTGAACTTTAGTTTCCAACTGTGGCTGAACTAAGAGTTACAGAGCTGGCATTGTGACCAGACACTTGGTAGTGAATAGCAAAGAAACACAGAAGACACGGCTAACGCTCCATTAGGAGTGTTCCCAACTTTGACCATGACCATATATATATATATATATATATATATATATATATATATGTTATTATGACCATTAATGACAATAAAGTTGGGAACACTCCTAATGGAGTATCACCCGAAGACGCAGGCCTTATTGTTCAGTAAAAACTTACGACGTAGTAACAGAGTCTAATTTATCATGTGGAGTATTCTCAAACTCCAGATAGATGCAGGTCTCCTGGTTTTCGAGTATGGAATACTTGACCTAAACATTGTGCCAATCATGAACACGTATTAGTAAACACACACACATGCACGCACTCACACATACACATATGTATATATGTCCACATATATAATCTAGCAATCTCGCTACTCAGTCATGCAACACTGCCACCTATTGCAAGAGATGCGTTTAATTATGCAGTTCACGTATTGGCACATTTGTGATGGATAAATACAAATTAATTAGCCAGTTATCAGTTATCTCTTATTGTCATATTATATTTATTAACATATTATACGCATTTACAGCACGCTGGGTAATAATCTAGCAACCTTGCTACAGTAAGGATCGGACGTTTCCACAAACTCCTGTTGCAGAGGTGCCACTGCTGTATCAGTCAGGTACTCCAGTAACACCATCATTGCACTCACAAGATGCAGCTCCTGACAAAAAGAACAGGGATACCGTCAGTAGAGCAATCTTTGTTATGAGCTTCTGCATCCCCAGGAAAATACCACAGTACTACGGTAAAGGGCTCAAATTTCATCACAACACCAACAGCACAATCCGTCTTAACTGAGGTGGTGTCCCTGAAAACTGGACGATGTCTACCACAATCAACGTATTAGCCAGCGAGCCGTGCAGCCGTGAATTGCACGGTCAGTTTTGAAACTGCACGGCCAAAAATGTGTAGCACGGCCTAAAATATTGATCTAAAGCCGTGTACACATAAATTTGGTAAAATTGCACTCCCAAATATCTTTTCTGCACTCCCACAATACTCATTCCTGGCTAATACCCTGACCACAATAAACTGCTGCAACTGCCCTACCTACACGGTATGTCTCTGTGTTCATCCTATAAATCCAATGAGTGTATGTATATATCTATCTTTGTCCAACACAAAAAGCATTGCAGAAATGTGGGGGTCTCACCTTCGCTTGTGGTCCACGCCAGGCCACCAGTACAAGACCATGCTCCTCATCATCCGACGGGAATTGAATAGTCTGCTCCTGCATTCTGCTGAGAGGGGGAATTGTTGACTGCCATGGCCGTGTGTATGGCCCCCTATCCCCCTAAATTAACCAGGAAAACATCAGCACTCATAATTACTACCTGATCATTGCTAAACATTCTTGCTTCATCAGATAGCCTGTAACAATAGGCTGTGGCTACGCGTCCGGTCATATCTATACTATTAAAGTAAGACATTTCCGCTAAAAACTCCGGAGGGAGTGAATGGCTGGGCGTGAAACGTACACCACGTATCGACAATGATTCCGTATCCTGCCTCTCAACTTTGGAAGAAAATGTAACCTCCGAAAATGTGATTTTGCGAGGGAAACCTTGAAAATCTGTACACAATCTATAAATAGAACGAGGGAATATACACACAGCATCACGTACGTGTCAATCCATGATGACGTATTACCGTAATGTCGCAGTGGCCTCATCGCTAGGATATTTGTCTCCTACACCGTGATTCCTGGTTCGAGTCCAAGCTGGGAAACTTATTTTCCCCTTTTTTTCCTTTCTTCCCTTTACCTACCTCTTTAGTATGTATTATTTTCCCCTCCGGAGTTTTCAGCCGAAATGTCTTACTTTAATAGTATAGATTTATTTTTAATTTATTAATTTATTTAATTTATTATTTTTTTAATTTATTTTTATTTTCAATGTCGTTTATC